TTGACTATTGATATATAATAATCCTCGATAATCACGATAATCACCGAGCATGAGGCGAATAACTGTTTTAGTATTATAATAGTTTTGTTTGTGGAAACACCACGTAAATTTATTACTGCAAAGCTTTCGATCCGTAAGCCCGGATCTTCATCAGCTAGTGCTAATAATATGTGACTTGTTTAATTCACACGCTCTTTTTATGTTGTGAACTCTTCGCAACACAAAGACACGGACAATGTTCTAAGGTTTATTTCGTACAAGTTTTAATACATTTTTATCGTATTATTTGGCTGTCAAAATAGTTGTTGTTCCCTTTTGTCCTCGACTTTCGATCGTATGATTAAAACAACAACACGTGACCAAAATTAACCTAATTAAATATTAAATAATTAGCATGCATTATGCAGTTCTATTAAAGTGTCAAAACACTCCTCCCCAGTGCGGAAAACGTTAACAGCTCAACGTTTGAGCAACGAAATTACTGTCTATATGTCTGTCTTTTCAGTGTAAAAAACACTGTGTAAAAAACACTGTTGTACTAAAGTTTCATTCTGCTCAAGCTCTTTTCGGGTTGCAATTAAGCATAACTTCGCTATGGGTCTTTCGTAGACTCCTTCGACGTTCTGATCTTTGCTTTACGATCACCACCAGGAAATACTTCTTCCACCAACGCCATTTGCCACTCACCTCTCTTGCGATTCCCATCGATTTCTAATACAAGATCACCAACTCCGACATTCTTCTGCCATTTTAACTTTTCTTCAGGTGGCAATACCTCATCCCACTGATATAGATTCTGGAGATCAATTCGAAACCGAATTGTAACTGGCGCCATCAGTCCTAGCAGATCCCACAGTTGAGACACCACACCAAGAGCCTTTCGTTTCGTACAATAACTGAGATCTGTATACACTGTCTCGCTCTTCAAAGCAATGCTATCAGTTTTCATGTTCCATTGATGACCCAGTAGACTCATCGGATTCTCGTTGCCATCTTGATCAATCTCTGGGCTGTTGCTGTGCCACGCTTTGATGGCAAACTTGCCTTTGCCCAAAATGGTATCGATACCATCGACCACTTTCTTGACTTTCTCTGGTGATGTCTCCGACCCCGCGACGTCATCAACATAAGTATTATCCTTTAGGATTCGTGCTGCTTCTGGTGATTTGACTTGAGCTCTATCAGCGAGAAGATTAATGGCATTCATGGCAGGCTCCCTGTCAGTTTCTCCGTCTCTCCACAAGAATCTGTGGTATTTCTGATCATCCGGATGGACAACTATCTGATTAAACATCTTCGAGACGTCTCCAGCAAAGGCGACTTCATTCTGTCTCCAGCCAATCAACACATCAAATAAGGAATTCATAAGACATGGTCCTTTTTCAAGAGCATCATCGAGGGAAAGTCCGTCCATTTTGGCTGCTGCATCGAAAACTAATCTGCACTTGGTAGTCTTGTCGGGACTTTCCACTTTTCCAATCGTTAGATACCAAGCCGGCTCCTCTGGGTTTACTTCCTCTTGTTTCAGCTTAATGACTACTTCTCTGTCGACCAAAGCTTTTACTTCCTTGTTAAACGCCTCCAACTTTCCTTTCTTTACCAGCTGCCTTTCTTTCGACACCCGGTCTCGCATTTCTTTCTCAGAGCACGTACAGTAACCAGTTGGTTTGATTCTTAATTGATCTTGGAAAATTAATTTCTTTATGTCCTGGTCCTTTGTTATGTCGTTAATGGTTTGGACAGCAAAAATTCCAGGTGTACTATTCTCTTCAAGATTACCAAGGACTGACCAACCAAAGATGTTCTTCTTTGCAATCGGTTCACCAGGGTTACCCGCCAGAACTTTAAAATCACGATGGGCTTCCGGTAGATCTGTTCCCAATAGAATGTCCACTGGACCGCCATTTAAATGTAGATCTTCTACAATTCGAACAAGGTGAGGAAATCTGACTACCGCTTTCTTTGAAATAGTTTTGGCTGCTTGGCAACGTTGCTTGACTGAATAAGCTCTCACATTGAATACAATATCTTCATCATAACAGGGCGATATCTTTAAATCAAACTCAGCAGAATCTTCAACTCTAATTCCACCGCCTGCAACATACATCTTCATCTTTTTTGATTCTCCGACCAAACCGAGCTTGTCTGCAAACTCTTTCCGAATGAGACTCTTAATAGAACCACTATCAACCATGGCAAGTCCCTTAATAGTGTTCCCATTGGCACTGTGCACTTTGACCTTTTGAGTTGGTACATTTGCAGTTCCTGCATTACCAGCTGAAATAGCACCAATCTGATTGGACTTTCCTGTGCCTGTAGCTTCCCCCTGATCTGGTTTGAATGGTTGTGCATCAGGGTTCAGATTGCCATTGTCCACTTGTTTTGGATCTCTTTATGCAATAGGTAATGATGTGGTCTTCCACAACTGTTGATATCACATGCCTTTCGCGAACACTGTTGGTGTCGGTGTCCAGTTCGCAGACATTTTTTACATCTCTTGGACTGAATCACCACTTCCCACTTTTCCTTCACTTTCATCTTCTTAAATGCTGGACAATAACCTAAACCATGTTGTTGGGAACAACCCAAACCACAACCAGGGGCACCATTGTAACCACCGTCCACATTAACTGGATAAATCTCAATTTTTGAAGAGCGTTGATCCGATTGACTACTTGCCATTATTTTTGCCTCTTCTTCTAGGTATTCCAACAAGGTATGCAGGCTTTCAATCTTCTTTGTATCAATCATACTCCGTGCGTAAGCTCTTTGATCTTCTACCGTCAATTTCGCCAGAATATCAGCAAACATATATCTACTTTTGGCTTCGTCAGATGCTCCAACATCTTCCATTCTGAGAATAAACCCACGAACTGTTGCGACCAAATTCCGAATCGACTTTGCATCTTTGACCTTCAAGGGTTTCATTGTTTTGATATCATTCATCAAAATTTTAATCAACTCTTTGTCGTCTCCAAATAACTTGTCGAGAAATTCCCATATCGCTTTAGTTGTAGTAAAACATTCAATTTCATATCTCAGGGGGGGGGGGGGTTGGATAGCTTCAATCAATCTTGCAAGTTGACTTCCTTCATTTTCATAATTTCTCTTCATAGTGTCCTCGAAAATTCTTTTCCATGTTCGATAATGTTTAATGTTTCCAGAAAATTGTGGTACCTTGATTCTCTCCAGATTAGACCTCTGTTGTTTGGGTTCCATTTCAGTCGGTAGTCCCTTTGATGTTTGATCTACTTCACATTTTCGTCGATATTGTTCTAACTTTGAGAGTAAATCGCCATATTTTGCAATGATTTCCGTAATAAAAATATCATGGTTTGTAAAATCGGCTTCCTCAATGTCAGCTTCGACCATTAAGTCAGTAATTCCATCATGTATTACTCTTACAGCTTTATATTTTACCTTGACTTCGCCAAAAGCCTCTTCAAGACTATGTATTTCCGGGCGAGCTTCTAGCACAAATTCGAAGCTTTTTACCTCGTCGTCGAACTTTTTCTTCGCCGAACTTCTCTTCCGATTTAACTCTTCAATTTTAACCATCGTTGATGCGATCTTTAACACTCGATGTCTTTGTTTTCTAGCGTGTCACTACTCGAACGCGTTCGGAATTGTTATTGATCTGGCATATTTCGCCCAAAATAACTTCCCATTTCGCTCTATTAATCAAACTATTTTGACTGTTGTGAACTTTTCGCAACACAAAGACACGGACAATGTTCTAAGGTTTATTTCGTACAAGTTTTAATACATTTTTATCGTATTATTTGGCTGTCAAAATAGTTGTTGTTCCCTTTTGTCCTCGACTTTCGATCGTATGATTAAAACAACAACATGTGACCAAAATTAACCTAATTAAATATTAAATAATTAGCATGCATTATGCAGTTCTATTAAAGTGTCAAAACATTTTATATACAAAAGTGTCGTGATCTGTTGGCTCGCGTCATTTGAAATTTAATTAAACGGCACATCAACCACGTCGGTAAAGAGCACAGAATAGGAAGTTATAGCAGAAGCGTAACTCTAGTCGTTTCCCTTATTGTTTGACGTCCACGAAAATTTTAACTCGCTCACGCCAATCCACGTCATTCTGGCTAGTACAACCGGAAGTTTTTATCAGGTTTTGGTAGGTACAACTGAAGTGCCGGTTGTACTAGCCAGGATGGCGTGATTGATGACGAATCGCTTGTAAAAACGCAGACAAATTCTTGCTTGAGTTACGCTTCTGCTATACCTTCCTATTCTGTGGTAAAGAGGGATATTTGTTCAGGGAATTCTTGATAAATATTTGCGAAACGAAGGCTGTATCTGTGAGCCCTATTGAAGTAAAATCGCCGCCCCGGCAAGTCAATATAGACAAGAAATCGGCTAGGGCCACAAAGGTTTATTTTGATAACCTAACTAACACACCTATAAGTAAAGACACGGCATCGGTTGCTGATACCTCAACGCTCAAGGAACTTGAGGATTTTATTGACAATTCATTTTATAATGCGACCGCCTTGCCGAGGGAGGACTGTTCTAGAAATTTCGCCCAAGAAATCAGTAATTCTACTCCATATCAGAAGCGTGTTGATGATAATTCGGTTACAACGGAGGCACGTTTTTTCATTTTTAAAGAAAAGATCGAATAGGAAATGGTAAATTTGTTGGAAAAACTTTCTGAACAAGTTAAAATTATAAATACAAGTAACAAGATTTATGCAGATTGAATAGAGAGAACTTGACCTTAAAGTCACGAATTTCCGAACTGGAGGGGAAAGTTTTTTCTATTGAAAAGTCTCACGGGAATAGAAACAAAAGCATAAATAGTGAAATGGTTAAAGAAAATCCAGTCAATTCAATTATAAACGACTACAAATCACTTAAGGAAGTCTATACTATACCGAAAAGTATTTTGTGTAGTGAATATAATGTTCCTGCCGACATTGAAATGCAAATGTTTGGCGATGACCAACGAGGCGGCTCATTAGCAACGGAAAGCAATAACAAACTGCCGAACTCAACAAATGATAATAAAGATAATGACGGGAATCTGAATTATGAAACCACTCCACTTAGCATAAACGGCAACTCAAGCATACATGAAATCTCAATTGTTGAAACAAATAAAGAAAGTTCCAAAGAAAATTATAAACCATGGGACCAATTAATTGTTAGTAACTACCAACGCCATGATCAAAATAGCCTGCAACAAACAAATTTAATTAGCCCTCAGAGTTTTGATCAAGTGGAAGCAAACTGTGATAGTAATGCTCAACAAACAGAATTCACAACATATGCAAATGACAATCTATCCAATTGCCTCGAGCAACGACAGATCCCATTAATAACAATAGCTGACCCTGTTTTTTGTCATGCAATAAAACCGAATTCCATATCCCCAACACTTGTACGCATCTAAGTTAAATCTGCCCCTCATCGAATTTCCAAAATCGAACAACTATACAGAACAGAAAGATCAACATAATATGTCACAAGCCCCTTTTTGGCAAAGCACCCTGTCCCATCCCACCCGTCACAGAGCCAAAGCATTCTATCCCACTCGAGTCAGTCCCCGAGTGAGAAGAAAACGTATCGTGAACGAAATCCACCTGAGATCGAAATCCACTACGAACGAATGGAAATGTCTCACCCGTCTCCGAGCCAATCTCCAAGCGGGAACGGAACGTACTGTGAACGAAACCGACCTGAGATTGAAACTTACCATAAACGAATGGAAAAGATACCTACTAGATATGTTCGCCAAACAATAGGGTAGCGACCATTGTCGGTCATCTATGTATACCTAACCCAATACCCACTCCAACTATCAGAGAACAGAACAAAATTCCGGTGCAAATGACACCTCGCATAGGCTATCATGTGGGGAGACAAAATTTTATAAATATTCCAACCGCCACCCACCTCTACCATCCATTGGCCAAGTCAAAACCGTCCTAAAACACCTAAATCCTAGGAAAGCCACTGGGTCGGATAATATCCCTGCATGGTGTCTTAAACGATACGCAGAAGAATTAGCACCAGTGGTCCACGATATTGTGGTTGCAAGCATAGTTCAATGCAAATATCCCACCTCATACAAGCATGCAATCATCAGTCCCATACTAAAGATCCGTCCACCCACGGACCTAGATAGTGACTTCCGCCAAGTTTCCGTGCTACCACAACTAGCAAAAGTTATCGAGAAGCTACAGCTCCAACTCTATATTCAGTTTCAAGATCAAAACAAACTAGCAAGCTTTCACGAGCGGTCATTCCACCGTGTCTGCCCTTACCTCCATATCCCAGAACTGGTTCGACTCAACGGACAACTCCTCAACCGGTAGACAAGGTGTTCACGCCCTATTTGTTGATTTCCGGAAGGCGTTTGACTTGGTCGATCATAAGATCATTCTGGACAAGCTTGCTGATATGAATGTAACAAGGAGTTTCTGGTTATGGACAATGAGTTTTCTGAAGGGAAGAACACAACAGGTAAATCTCCAAGGTGTACTATCCTTTACTGCATCATGCCCAGCCGGCGTCCCTCAGGGATCTGCTATCTCGCCGACCTTATTCAACATTCATATTAACGATATGGAGGAAAATGTTTCTGAACGGGCATGTGTCAACACAACCAAATATGCGGAAGATTGCACCATGGATACGTCCATAAGAACAGGAAAATTTAGCGATTTGCAAAGCGCTCTGGACTCAGTGCAAAGTTGGGCTGTGGAAAATAAAATGGAACTGAATGCCAAAAAGACTAAAGATGTGTGGATTAACTTCACCCAAGCACCGCCCCCTCTACCACTGCATATAGGAGATGCTATCATAGAAAGAGTCGATAATTTCAAACTTTTGGGAATCTGGTTTCAAAAGGATCTGAAATGGAATAAACATGTCGAGGAGACCACTCGCAAAGCAGCTAAAGACCTGTACTGCCTACGAGAATGTAGAAGAGCGAACCTACCAGTCGAAGTGGGTCTCACCACTTATTTAACTAAAATCAGGCCTATCCTTGAATATTGTTCTCCAGTGTGGGGTGGTCTGCCACGATATCTAAAGGACGAATTGGAACGTGTGCAAAGGAGGAGTCTACAAATTATTGGCCTCCCGCATGGTTACCTGCCAACTCTCGAAGAGAGAAGAATTGAAGCCACATCGAGAGAACTCGATAATATCTTAGGTGATCCAAGCCATATCCTTTATCAACGAACTATGGAACATAATAAACATAACTATAATCTTAGGCGTAGAGACGGTATATTTAAATACGCACCTTTCTCAGGCACTGAACGACACAGAAATAGTTTAGTCCCACGACAATGAGACAAGGGTTGCATTAAAACCTAACTTGGTTTTAATTAACTTTTTAATAATTTCCTAGACTTTTAAATTTTTACTCCAAATTGTATATATATAAATTTTTCGATACTGTAAATATTATTGCATGCTTAGTTAAAGCCTGCAGCACACGAGAGCTATCTGCTGAGCCAAAAGTTACTCGTGCCTGTTAGCTCAGCTGATAGCTCACCGATCAAACATGTTTGATACGTGAGAAAAGGTTGCATGAGGAAAAAAACTCAGTAAAATGTACGCGCACACGGTGAGCTATCGGCTGAGCTAACAGGCACGAGTAACTTTTTGCTCAGCAGATAGCTCTCGTGTGCTGCAGGCTTAAGCTCTTCTCTTTTAATAGACATATTTGTAAATCCATTGTATTTTTAAACAAAAGATGGATCAATAAAATCACATCATCATTTCAAAAGTAGTGAAGTGATTCCAATTAACGCGCGCGCATCCAAGACAAGAGAAATTAATTTTGCACATTAAAGAGAGCACACCACGTACTATCTAGTGGCTTTCCCTCCTGATCTATAGCATTGTGCTTCTCGATTTCAATTTACTCTCTCATTTTGCGAGAGAACTTATGACTATCAATCGCCAAAATGGTTGCTTCATCCCATTTTATACGATGGTCGTAAGTCCAAGTATGTTTAACCACAGCAGATTTATCTTGCTCGGCTTTCTCGCAATTCGTCTTGTGTTCCTTAAGACGTACTGAGAGATTTCGACCAGTTTCACCAATGTAAACCAGACCACATTCACAAGGAATGCGATACACACCAGGTTTCTGAGATTCATTTACGTTGTCCTTATGTGTGCAAAGAGCTCGAAACAATTTGTTTTCGCTGGAATGGTATACCTTTATACCTGCTTCATTCCTCAAAATTCTTTCGATTTTGTGTGAAGCCGGACCAATGTATGGTAGACTAACAGACGACTGATATTCAATCTTCTGCTGTATACTTTGTGGCGTTTTCATAGCATTATCTATGAAATGCCGTGGGTAACCATTCATTTTTAGAACATTTCTTAAATGTTCTAATTCATCGTCAATGTTACTTACCTCACAAATTGTTTTCGCTCGGTTGATGAGTGTCTTGCACACAGAGTTTTTAATACTAGGATGATGAAATGAATTATAATGCAGATACCTGTCTGTATGTGTTGGTTTCCTATAAACCTTATGTCCTAGCGACCCATCATCATGTATAGTGAAAAGAACATCTAAGAATGGTATAGTTTTATCATCCTTCTGTACTTCAAAAGTAAACTTGATCGATGGATGCAAACTATTAATGTGGTCTAGAAACTTTTGTAAATTACCTAGTCCATGAGACCAGCTACTCAATGTATCATGGCCTTCTTTTCAAAGGCCTTCTTTTCAAATTCCTACATGAACAAATTAGCCATAACAGGCGACAATGGACTTCCCATTGTAGCGCCGTTTGTTTGTTCATAGAATTTCTCCCGCCATTGAAAACATGTCGTGGTCAAACTTAGTTTCAACAAATCATGAACATTCTCAGGAGAAAGATTAGTTCTTTGAGTTAATGTAATACCTGAAAGAAGTCTTTCTTTCGCGATATTACAAGCCTCTTCAACTGCAACATTAGTGAACAAGCTAACTACGTCAAAACTTACCATAATGTCATTCTTACCCAATCTAATTTGTTTTGAGCCAATCTAATCTATTTTGAGGAATGAAGCAGGTATAAAGGTATACCATTCCAGCGAAAACAAATTGTTTCGAGCTCTTTGCGCACATAAGGACAACGTAAATGAATCTCAGAAACTTGGTGTGTACCGCATTCCTTGTGAATGTGGTCTGGTTTACATTGGTGAAACTGGTCGAAATCTCTCAGTACGTCTTATTAAGGAACACAAGACGAATTGCGAGAAAGCCGAGCAAGATAAATCTGCTGTGGCTAAACATACTTGGACTTACGACCATCGTATAAAATGGGACGAAGCAACCATTTTGGCGATTGATAGTCATAAGTTATCTCGCAAAATGAGAGAGTCAATTGAAATCGAGAAGCACAATTCTATAGATCAGGAGGGAATGCCACTAGTGAGTACATATCCAGCAGGCGTTTAGTAAAGGGCGTCGTTTGAGGAACCGCCTGCCCAAATAGCTATGACAAATTAGTTTT